TAAGAGACAGCCTGTGTGTTGTTGTGTGGGTAGAGATGAAGCTCCGGATAACTGCCTGCATGTGGCGGTTACCTGTGTGTTGTTGTGTGGGTGTGAGTGTGAGTGAGGGTGAGTAGAACACTACTGCCATGCAGGGTGCGTGGCTGGTTACCTGTGTGGTGTTGTGTGGGTGTGGGTGTGAGTGTGAGTGAGTAGGACACTACACTGACTACAGCCATGCAAGGTGCGTGGCTGGTATATGGGGCCTCGCTCCACTAGACAAAATTTGGACTCTTTCTTGACCAGATGCATTGGGACGAGTCCAACATTTTGAATGATTCGGGTCCATTGACTGGTGGCTGTGCCGACCACACACAGTCAAATTGAATGTGTCTCTCCTCACTGCCAGACTCTCCTCTAAACATTCCATTCATGCATCTCTGGAACGTTGCAGGGGCATTCGGCAGTTCGAAAGGCATCACTATGAATTGGTAGTGCCCATATCTAGTCCTAAGCACAGTCTTAGGCTCATCTTCGGGGGTTATCTCAATTTGATGGTATCCAGACCTCAGATCTATATCTTACCACCAAAGTACTTGCACCCCAGTAGTCTCTCTAGCAGATCATCTATACGTGGCAAAGGTTGTGCATTCTTTACCATGATGGCGTTCAAGCAACGATAGTCAATACGTCATCGTAGGTCTCCTTCCTTCTTTGGCACAAGCAAGACGCGTGCGCCGTAGGGCGACCAGCTCGATCTAATCCACCCCAAGTTTACAATTTCATCAAACTGCCTCCGAAGTTCCTCCAGCTCTCTTGGGGACATCCTATAGATGGGGCCTTTAGGAGTTCGTTCTATCTCGATGTGGTGCTTGATAGGCCTCTCTACCACTCCACCGGGCCCCTCTTTCAAATCTGCATACTCGTCGAGCAGTTTTCTTACTTGGGGTGGAATCGCCTCCTCTTCACTCTTGACCGGACTTGTGTCAACTTGTTTCTTCTCTTGTTTTTTTTTTTTTTTTTTTTTTTTTTTAATTTATACCGGCTTAAAAAACGCAACATAGGCCTCGCGTAACTTTCTTGCTCTTCGCTAGGTATCTAGAAAACTTCTTGTTCTTCACTAGGTATCTAGAGAACTTCTTGTTCTTCACTAGATATCTAGAGAACACCGGGACACTCATACAACACATGGATAACGAGGATCTTTGGCCTGATATATGGTACTGACGTATGGTACTGACAGATCTTCTTCTTGCTGCCATCACCACTAGGCAGCCAACACTTGAAATAGAGAAGTTTTAAATAAACGGAATAATCTAGGAAATAAAGTATACAAAATGGGAATTCAGCTACTAATTACATATGTGAGTAAAGTAAGAATTGAAAAAGTTTGCATCTTTGTATTTTCTTTGTATATTCTAAGAAAGAATTGGAATATCCAATTGTCATTTTTATTCTTTGATTCAATMTGTTTTCCCAATAGAAAACAATCATGAATAAATAGAAAGTGTAATTCTTCTTTTTCATTTG